AGATGATACATTGGCCAGAATTTTACGCCACTCCAAGCAAATGTTATTGTAAATACCAGGAACCTCGCCAGTAACATGTTCTTTCTCCTTCTCTCTCCCTTGAAATCTCTGAAACGTGTTAAAAATTAAAAATAGAAATAAAGTGATAAATATCACAAATAGTGCTCGCCTCATACTCATAATACATTACAAGAAAAAAAAAAAACTATTCGGGCCTTTAATATAGGATAATATAAAAAGGGAGATGGGGCTGCGAAAACTTAAAAGACGGTTAGGCTTAGGTAAAAGGAAATAAGTACCACAAGATAGCTTGTGCTACTTATTCCCTTTTAAATAACATAACGCACTATACGATTATGGATAGGTAAGCAAACTATTACTTTAAGAATACATACAAAAATGTTTCCGGGTAAATTTCTTCCTAGTTTTTGAAATATTCATAAAATTGCATAATAGACCTACCAAAATTAGAATTGGGTATTTTCTGATTTTATAAAATAGGCGTGAAAATGTTATCAATAAGATCTAAATTTAACTATGTCATGTCTTTTTTAAAAATGCATGAGTGAAATAAGAATGAACACAATAGAGATAGTTAATCCCGTAATAAAAGTAATTAAATTTACTGAAGTATTGCAATAACTTCCCGCATGCTGGTTGAAATTGTTAGCTGGATTCAAGAGACAAATTTTAATTATTACGGAAATATAACTGCCATTGTTTGAGATTGTTTTAGACTTTAATTTTAAAAGCAATTTATCTCTAAAAAAATATATAGGATAAAATGTAAATATTTACTGTAATTATGTGGCACAATAACAGTTATTTTATTGGTTAGAAAATAAAACTCTTAATATTTCCAAAGTTGGTGATGGACTTCACGTTGTGTCATGTTATTACTAGTTGAGCAACATCTTGATTATTATTATTTTCCAGATTTGTGACGCGTACACACGCCAATCGCATTATTTTCAAGAACCAATGAAATTACTAGAGATTGTGGCGCTCGGTGCGGTCTTTGATTTTGCTGCCCTTCATTCACAAAATAAAGCACAAAACATACAGAAGTCTGACAGAAGGCATACCAAACGCAAGACGTGTATAGGCCTAGGGCTAGAGGCCGTCCTTAAAGTACGTCACGCTATTTTTGACCAGTTTTAATCCCCTCCCTCCCCCCTGTCACAAATCTCGGATCCCCCCCCCCCCATAGTACGTCACACTTTCGAACAAATTTAAAAAAAAAAAATTAACACCTAATTAACATTTAATCTAAAACACACTTCACTATTAAACTGTATTAAAATTTCCACTTAGTTTCCGCAATCACATTATTAAAATGACTTAAATAGTAGAAAATTTAATTGTCAACAGTTGTCACAGTTATTCAATGAAGCAGTAACTCAATCTATATTGAATTTGAAAACAAAAATTGCAAAAATTAGACTAGACAATTATATAATACACGTCATTCATTTGCTGCTTTTTCATTTACAATAGGTGAGGTCAAGTTTTATATAATCTTCCGATTATGGAATCTTTTTACACAGGATTAGAGGTAGATTAGCGAGACTTGACCTCACCCAGTGATTAAATAATAAAAAGGACAGTGGCATAATTATGCAGCGGACAACATAGAAATAATAATACTTCAGGCATGACGAAAGCAAGGCTATACTATACACAATACAAGGCTTCGCAAATGCTTACTAGCGCTCCTAGCGAGAGGAATCGTGAACAACACATTCAGGAGATACGCATTTCCTGCTATTTTGACATAAAACTAATTCAAATGTTTCACAAAATTTTTGAAAATTATTTTTAAAGTTATTAAATTCCACTAAAAAAATAATAAATAAATTAGCAATAAAAAAAAAAAATAAAATAAAAAAAAATGTGTGACGTCACACATGGCCTGACCCCCTCCCCCATTGTCATACTTTCTTACACCCCCTCCCCCTCTGGCGCGTGACGTAGGCCTACTTTATGGACGACCCCTTACTGTATAGTATTCTAAATTGACCGAAAATGACGCCCCCCAAAACAGTTTTGATGATGACGTGTCGCCCGGGATGAACCTCCAATCTTCCTACGTCAGTTACTTGAAGCCTCACTAACTTAGCTAAACGGATGTTTCCTCAATGTTAAATTTATTTAAAAAAACATTAATTCTAAAAATATACTATTGCCCCCAATTAGGATCTGTGCTACGCTAGCGACCATGTATATTTGTACTGTGCTTTCAAAATAGTAACTACAAAAATCAAGCTAAATCAAGGATCCGCCAACGACCAAGCTTTGGAAAGCCAAAAATGTAAACTTATAATAGGTCTATATGTAACATAAATGCGTTATGTGCTGAATTTCGGCTCTCTATGACATGATAAGCCGGTCTGCCAGTCTTAATAAATGTTTTTGAAACGTTGCTTATTGAAAAATTTTGGCATAAACAACGTTTCAAAAACATTTAAGTCTGGCAGACCGGCGGGTAATTTTATCATTGCACCACTCACCGTGGACCGGTGCCATAATATATTGTTATTATAATATTTTTTATTTGACCTTAATTAAACATGTCATCCAATAGTTAATCCCCGACCAGCCAATGCAAGAGGATTCTATTAACTATCTGTACCAGTTTTAAAGAGGATTCTATTAACTATCTGTACCAGTTTTAATATTATAAGTTTTTACGTTTTTTAACATTATTTTCTTTTAGGTAATGGCCTTTGAACTAATTAGCTTTCATCCAGTTTCTTGTTTCAATAGTTTCATGTTGTGTGGACCGACAACGTAAGTGTAACGCTCACGGACCGATGCCGGTCCACGGACCATCACATTGCATTCATGTATTAGAAAATAAATGGTTAAAAGTTAAAGAATAATAAGAAGTAAAATGTAAGAAATAGTATAAAATCATATCATTTTATAAGCATTTATGGATTTTTATATGTTACAATTAAGGATAATTATATAATAAGCCTTATTTTAATAATATATAGACCTATGTATATTCATAATTATCATGTATTTCTTACATTAATTTTGAAAAAAAAAGCAAATTTGTCTTAAGTCTAAATTATGCACAAGGCTTACTCACTTCCAAAAACTCGCAATTTTTGTTTTGTTATCATGTCTGTCACTAAGGAAAACAAAGAAATATTGTATTGTAAGCCTAGTTGTTGGTGTTATTACTTTGGGGGTGGGGGTGGGGCTAATTGAATGGTGAGTTGTTTTGCTCTAGAGCTTGCTGTTAATCAGAAAGATCTCATAATAACCAGAGACGTCATTTGATAATAAATTCTTCACCCCACCCCCCCCATTAATTGTGCAGGTTTGAAGTAAATTGCTATGTAAGCCTACTGCTGCGCCTCCAGTAAATTAACAACTCTTCAAGCCGGCCAAGTTTTGTTTTTTCCACCCCCCCCCCTGAAAAAACCACCATGAAATAACGTTCATGATTTTAATCTACCAACATTAATCCATTTAAATGTTTATATATATATATATCAAAGCACTCATGACTCCTTATGTACCCACTAGACAACTCCGCTCATCCGATAGTGGCAAAATATAAAATATCGATACCGCGTGTTCGCCTTGAGACTTACGGAAAGCGCACTTTGCATTTGCCGGCCCAATAATTTGGAACGCCCTTCCAGTCGCTCTCAGAAACAGCCAGACACTGGAATCCTTTAAAACCGATTTAAAAACACATCTTTTTCGCAAACACCCTCTGGGGTGATGCTATCTACCATCTTTTTTCAATTAACGTATATTGGCTTGTGTTGCTTATGGTTGAAATGGGATAAAATACTTTGACTTGGTATGCTCGTGTGTAGTTTTATATTGTTGCGTCTGTTTTTTAAATGTGGTAAATTTTAGATTGTTTTTTATTTCTCTTTTTAATATGTTTGACTTTGTACCGCGCTTCGAGCTTTTGGGGATGAAGCATGTTTTTCAAATAAACGTTATATATATATATAATTTTATTTCTCTTTTTAATATGTTTGACTTTGTACCGCGCTTCGAGCTTTTGGGGATGAAGCATGTTTTTCAAATAAACGTTATATATATATATATACGACAAAGTGCAATGAGTCTTAAAAATCTTAGTGATATATGCTATTCATTTATAATATATTTTAACCATCATTTAGCAATTTAATTTATTAGACGCCGTTCACTGATAATAATAGTTCATTACACTTCAAAAGGAGGCTATATATTAGTCAAGTAAACTGATTATCGTACATTTATTTTATTTAATCAACATGATCACCGATTATGCGAATAGATTTCATCAATTATCTTGTTATGTAGACCTAATATAATTTATTTATAAGTATTTTAAATATAATAATAATTTGAATATTAATATAATTAAACTCTCTTTACACATCCATCACCCAAGGTTAAGTATCATTCATGTCATAGGGGGGTCGTTCGTAAATTACGCCACGCTAAAAATGGCCTTTCTAGACCCCCCCCCCCCCTTGTCACGAATTCTTTTACCCCNCTATAACACCTGAGGCAATATCGATCTCAAATTAATGTTTTTAAAATTAATGATTTTTCAAATTTATAACAATTTAGATTTTTTTTTTTAAAAAGTGACGGCATATTTTTTTTTTTACCTCCTTTCCTTTTCCCCCTTTCACAAATTGTCACAAATTCTCGGTCCCCCCCCCCCCCCCCTTTTTTTTAGCGTGACGTAATTTGCGAAATAGTAGAGGGTTTACAAGCTGGCAAAGATTGACATTATTTTATTATGTGTCATTTACACAAAATTAAAGCAATAAATAGTAATAGGAGAAAATTTAATAGAAAAAAGAAATTTAAATATATTTTACTTAGAGAGTTTCCTTATAACTGATATAAAACCGGGGAAACAATTCGATTGAAAGAATAAAAATAATTAATATTACTATTCGGTTTTTATCAAATCCTTATTTAAAATTGTCGGTCGTGATGGTGAAGGTGGCGCTTCGACTATTGTATCAAAATGGTTGTCTGTTTGTATTAGTAACGAAGGGCCGAAAGGAATTTAAATCAAAGTATACTAGGAGCATCGAAAGAAAGTAAAAAAAAAAAAAAATCCTGGCGTGGCAGTATCAAGTGGTCAGCATTAAAATTAAATCAATTTGTATTATATTTTATGCTAAATAGCAATATAAAATAATTAATATGAACACGACACTTGACTGTCTTGACATTAATTATTTATTAATTTTTAATTAACCCTTTTACTCTTAGTCTTAGGTTAGGACGGAGCCTTTTCGGGGTGTAGGCCCTATGTGCCAAAAAGACGGAGCACTTTTTACGAGCTCGGCACTCGCACTGCTAAAAAAAATTATAAAAAATAAACTATTTCCTTAATATAAGTAAAACTATATATATATTATTTTAGGAAGTTGAATGAACTAATACAATCTTTAGGAATCAAACTGAAATATCAACATTTATGCAAATGTTAAATGAACTACCCTGATTTGCATAATTTATGTGTATAAGTTTTTGTTAAACCTAGAATAAACATGACTTACTTCTATCAATTGTGTGAATTTTTTGATCGATGAAGCCTGAATAAGTCCTAACACTTATACTTATATTTTTGGGAAACAAGGCCCATGGAGGCCCTTCAGATACATCTGGCACATGTTTCTACTCCTTCTCCACCCCCACCCCCTATTTTTCAGTTGTTACAGACACACTGTAACAGGCGCCCATTTATGACCTAGGGACCTTCTCTTAAGCTGGATGCTACTGAGAAAGATGTCTGCATATCTATTGGTCTCTCTCGTATACATTTGAATGATATTTAGTGTAAAAAATAGCATAAAGTACTCAAATGGGGTGCCTATGCCTTATTTATAGGACCTATGTTGTCTAAAAATTCAGAGGGGTCATCCCTGTCCAGTTAAGTACCCCTAATACTAGTAATACTAAACCAAGAGTTCACAACATTAGCATTACCCTCAATTTGAAAGTCTTCATTAATTTCCTGTTTGTTTTCATCAGTTTCAGTGTCAAATTCACTGCTAGAACATCAAAATTACTAAGCACAGTTTGATCAGAGTCACTGTCAGACATGTTCGAATTTCACGATGTAACTACACACACAAAAAAAAATTCCTGCACACAAATAAATTGAGTTCACCATCAATGAACGCCGCCATTACAATACCGGGATGTGCAGGAATATGTAAGAATAATTTTGATTCGCTGGTGCAACGCCAAGCCAGCCAATAGTGAGGCTCGATTTATCGGGCCGACGGCTCGGACTTACGTCTTTCTCTCTATTCAACCTTGGGCTGATAGATCGGCCCTTACGTCCCAAGAGGGTTAAATATTAAATTGACTCAATAAATTATAATTTGATGATAATTTAATAGTTATAATGAATAATTATTTAACTTAACTATTTACCATTATTTAATGCTACTACTAAACTTCAAATTTTAAATCCTAAGTCTAAAAATGTATTCATTAGGCTAACTAATGAGTAATTCATGTTGATTCAATCATATTCAATGTGTCCTTGCCTTTGCCTTTGTAACTTTGTATCTATCTGATAAGTCTATCTTTATTATTAATCGTAATTATAATATGAGCTTGACAGAGCCATAAAGAAACTAAATTCTCATTTATAGAACCAGGCTCTTAGTCTTGTCTTATGCATCCATAACAAGATGCTGGTAAATTTAGGCTCTACAAGGAAAACAAAATATACTCGATCTTATAATAATGTTATAAACAGCTCTTTTCAAATTGGAGAAAAAGTTGTAGCAAAAGCAAAAAAATCCCTTTAAAAATATCTGGAAAAATGCCATCATTTTATAACACCAATATTTAAAAAAAGGAAAGGCTGCTGATGATGTTAAAAAGCTGTAGTATAATTATAATTATAGATAGACTGATATCCCTGACCTCTTGTTGCAATGGAAAACTTTAAGAAAGAATAATTAACAATCACCTCTTTCTTTTGGTGGCTAAAAAGAATCACCATCAGTGAACACCAAGCTGGTTCCAGAGCTGGACAGGGTACTTATAATAAATTCTTCAGCCTGAGCATAAGGATCTTAAATGGCTTCCTTGACAAAAAAATCCACATTAGTCTTTGTCCACCTCCAGCAGGCCTATGAAACATTGTGCGGAAATGCTTTCTCTGGAAATTAAACACTGCAGGGATTCACAGCAAGCTGTGCAAATGTTTAAAATTCTTTCTTACTGATTGTACAACCAAAACAAAAATAAAAGATGCCACCTCATCAAAGTGTATCCTGGAAGAAGGGCTTCCACAACGTTCATTACTGATTTGTACCCTAATGTTCATTAATGAACTACTTGATGAGCTACAGCTGGAGAAGCACAATATGCAAGTGACCTTGTGATGTGGCATAGGCCTACTGGCCAACACACAGGTATAAGTGTAAGGTGTCTTAACGATGACTTGATAAGGCTGAGTAGATACAGTGGAAACTGAAAGTAAACAACACCAAGACTGTATACTTGGTCTTCATAAAATCCACAGGGTAGCCAAACAGATCACACAGTAATAGCTGCAGAAAAAAAAAAGCATCCTAAATGAGGATATAACCTAAATATACACAGATGGATCAGCTTTCAAAGAGAGCTCTACATGAAGGCTATGGTGTATAAATAAAGTACCCAGACTGATCTGATGCGATCATGTGACGAACTCTGCAACCCCTGTGGAGCGATCTAAAGTGATTAATTGATGGGCTATAAGCTCAAGTGGAAGATGTGTTTTGAAACACTAGCTCAGTCCCAACCCTGAAGATCCAATAAATTGTCTACAAATGACAAGAACAGATCATGCATAATCTTTCTCCTGTGCACATGGTACATGCAACTTAATTTCTACTTAACCACATAAAACCTGATAAAATACCAATGTTCTCCCGTTTGCAAACATCTAAATGAGTTAGTAACACATCACCTTTTCCATTTACACCTAAACCATCTATCAAAGACACAGGACTACACCAACACCCTATATACAAGCAAAGAACAGCTGCAAAGTGTGTGTAAATTCTTCACCATGGCCATGGCTGAAGGGCATATTTCCAAATGGTCAGTGAATCTAAAATTAAATTATGATGTTGATAATTATTACTTCTTCATCTTATATTTGAGGGCCCACGATCAATGTGTTGATCATTCTGGCTCTGGTTTGAATTCAGAGTTTTCCTTCTCTTAGATGAGTTGCTAATGGGTCCCATCCATCCGGGGTGCTTGGGATGTTGGCAGCAGAGGCGTAACTGGGTTTTTGACGCCCTTGGCAAATTTATTTTTGGCGCCCTTGATAGATTGAGAAGTTTCAGCTTTACAGCGCAATTTTGAGCTGGTGCAGGCCGGCGCCTTTGGCAACTGCCCCAATACCAAGCTGTTGTTACACCACTGGTTGGCAGACCACCTGCTATTTGGTTTGATACAGTTTAGACAGCTCGGCCAGAGCTCACCCAACAGACCACTCTACAACTATTTTAATTTATTTTTTACTTAATAATTTATTTTCATAATTATAGTTTAAAAAAATAAAGTTTATTTATTTGCTTATGAGTCTTGTGTTAATTAATGTTATTAATATTAATATTGGTCATGATGAAGAGTTGTCATTGCTGTGAATAAGTATTAGCATTGACAGTATTGTAGAAAAAAAATTATTAGAAATATGTGTTAGCGGTCTTATTCAGATAACAGTAGTCAATACTGAGTATAACAGTAGTCAAAACTTAGTCAATAACACAAGTGCTACTGATAAACACTGTCGAATAGCCTAATATTTGTTACAATTTATATTATATTATGGTTTTTATTGTTGCCAACTGGCATACCTACATCTTCAAGAGACAACTGTGTAAATGTAGCTTCTTATCATTATCTGCATCTCCCCCTCCCCCCAATGGTTTAAAACAAAGTCTGATTCTATCGACACTAGATTGGTATACCTTGCTGCACTTTTTACAAGGGAACGTTGTATGTTGTTGTCATTAATCCCTTCTTATATGTCTGTATTCTCCTTGCTCATCTATGCGCTATAATAATTAAGTTATCCCAGTGACTTGTGTTGGTGCTGGCTGGTTTCATATCTTTCTTGCATATGTCCTTGTAGACTACTTGTATTGCCTAAATGACCACTCACAGGATTTTTCCCCCCTCTGTCTTTTCACCTTACAGTCCTTGTAATGTGGCATGGATGCTATTGGTCTAATCTCTTGACATGGCAGCCATCAGAGAACTCTCTCACATAGAGTAGAGTAACATGATTGTCAATTCTATGACCTCCATACACAGCATACTTCCTCTACCAGACACTCACAGAGCATCTCCTAACTTACAAAGCTGTAGGCTTACTGTAGTGAGACCTAAATAAATTAACACTAATTGAAAAGCTGCTTATTTTATAGGCCTTTTAGACATTTCCAAAAAAAAAAAAAAAAAAAAAAAAAAAAAAAAAAAAAAAAAAAAAAAAAAAAAAAAAAAAAAAAAAAAAAAAAAAAAAAAAAGAAAAGCTGCTTATTTTATAGGCCTTTTAGACATTTCCAAAAAAAAAAAAAAAAAAGGAAAGAAATAAAAAGTAGATAAAGTGAAGAAATGATTGATTCAGTAAATTCAAAATAAATAGGTGAAAATATGCTTTTCTCATTTCGCATTATCACTTCTGACTATTTCACTCAGCTGATAGAAATCATACTTCTACTTTTTATTTATTGAATTCATTTAAATGTATTTTGTGGGTTCTATATAGCATTTTGAATCCCATTTCAAAGACCATAGGGTTTGGTCTCTGTGACTGTAAGTTGCTTCTTGTTGTTTCTTGGGATGAAGGTACTGTACTTACATTCAAACTGTCCAATGTCAATTATTTTAAGAAATTATATTATTTTGAAAGCATTTCCAGCTGATACCATGAATTTTAAAATTAAAAATTACATTATATTAGGCATATTATTCAAATAAAAATTCTGCATATGATTTCTTACAGTGACTGAGTATTAAAGGGATGTTAAGAATATCTTTAGTGCAAGTAAAGTAGAAACAAAATATGACAAATATTAGCCAAATTTTTTTGACATTTTTTTAGTAACTACCGGTACTGAATATGGAATTTCTGGTACTTACTGGTTACAGCAACAACATTGTTGGATCATCTAGAAATATATATTGTGTTTTGAGTTCGTTTACCTAATAGTGTAGAAAGAAATTGTTTCATGAACATAAGCAGCACTGTTTCAATAAATTTTCTTGTGTGAGTGGCATATATTTTTAAAAATATTCCTTATTTAAATTTTACAGCTCATGTCAGGTATGTGCATGAGTCTCGAGATTGACCTGTGAATGCAGCCCTCTCTGGGGGCTCATGGGTTGTGGTGCCTCAACTGTCTACACCGGGACCAGGGGGACACTGCATCAGCCAAATAGGAACATCCACATAAACAGTATAATTAACTGAGTCATTCTGTTAACTGTTATTCAGTTTTAGTCCAGTTGTTGTGGCTTGGCTTTTTGTTACAGCAATTGCAATGTAAAAAATTCATGTTTTAGGATGAGGCCTTCTACGCTAAAAGCAGTCTAAAACTGTTTAGGTTTAAAACTAAAAATTTTGCTTGAACAGTTCATTAAATTAAATTTTGCAAAGTAAATCTTGTTAAAAATCTGATTTTGTGATAAGTTATTTTAAGACATTGATAGCTGAGAATCATAACGAAGAATAGCTTGGTCGTATATGACATCTTAATATTACATCAACATTCCATTTATCACACCACATTTTTTTTCTAATGTAATGGAAGTTGTGTTACAGCAGCTCAAAATTTAAAATAAGTTATTTCTCTGATATAAATATTTTCTAACCTTTTGACATAATTGACATCATTTGGTAAAACTGAAAAATTTTCAGTGAACTTCATGTCTTAAAAAAAAAAAAAAAATTTGTCAGAATTTCAATTTAAAACTAAACAATCTAAATCTTAAAAAGATAGTTTTGGACAACTAGTTAGTGCAAATAGTATTTTAGTTTTCAAAATGCTTTTTGTTTTTTGGTTGCAAATTTGTCTATAAGTGGACACTAATTACCATTGTGGATATGTATCCAGGGGAGTGCACTTAAATAAGAAGGTTTCTTACAACAATGTTTTCAAGCTCAAGTCTGTTCCCAGTGTAATTCTCTTAGATTGTTTGCACTCACCTGGCTTGGATACCAACTTTGCATTTGATTACCATTACAAAGTATATTTTTTTTTAAAGTTATAAATTTCAGATAATAACTCTTTGATCATTTTTGGAATTCCTTAGTTTTATAACAACTTTTCTAATGTGCTTTAGTTCATTAAGAAATATTTATTTATTTGAAAGTATGAATTCAGATTTCCATTATATTTCTTGAGTATAGAAATTGCAATTTTCTAAACTCTGATGTACATGTGGTATTCTTTTATGTGAAGTCCTATTGTTCAGTTAAGTACCGGGTAGTAAAAATTCTTATACTGGATTTTACCTCATGAAAATGAAAATTTTATGATTACTATTAAAAACTGTACAATAAATTATAATTATAAGAGTTTATTAATTTGCTTTCATCTTATTAAAAAACATTAGGCCTATATAACTATGTAACTTGAAGCATAGTTAATATTATCCTCTGTAAGAGGCACATATACATTGTGAATGACAGTATACCCAGTAAAACTTGGCTTCAGCTTGGTTCAAAGACAATCCAAAAATATGATTTAACAGAATGGAATTAATGAGAATCCCTTGCTCAAGACATTACTTACTTTAACACCTATAATGGTGGGAAAATTACTTATTTTAATGTATAATCAAGTGCACTATCTGGCTGTTATTTATGAAGCTTCTTCAGAAATTGGTAAATAAAAATATGGAGTCTATTTGAGATGAGTCAGACCAGAGCTTAAATTTAAAATACATTTTCTAATTAAACAATCAGACAAAATATCCCACAGCTTTAACACAGTTTTTCATTTACTATCCTTATTTTTAAAGCCTGTTTTTAAAAAAGGTTGTTTCGAAAAGATAAACATATAATTTTATAAAGGTGGCACTTTTTAATGAAAAATGAACTATTTATAAAATTACACTATGCTCTTAATAAGAGTTATGTGTTATAGATATATATATATATATATATAAAACTGTCTTGTAAATAAAATATAGTTGAAATCCTTTTCTAGAAAAAATTATTTATCTATTCATTTCAGTTATTGAAGCAACCAGCATTCTTGACTATGATGACACAGATACTATCAGCTCACGGAGACAGACACCAATTATTCCTTTGCAGACCCAGTTGGTAACTTCTCAGCCTGCTAGTCCTTACGGACAAGCTGCCATTATTACAAGCAGCGCTCCGGTCGTGATGTCCTCACAACCAGTAACAGTTGTTGAAGTTTCTTCTGTTGACAGGCCATCATCACCTACACCTAGCACCAGTAAGGTCCTGCACAGAACCTACACATCCATTCAAGTGATGGAACACGAAGATATCCCTATGATTGTCCATTAATGAGTAAACAATAGAGACTTGTATGTGGTTAATTCATGCTTGTTGTTGGCACAGATATAATTTCATGAGGCTGTGGTATACCATATGAATTGTGTTAATTCATGCTTGTCGGTGGCACAGATATAATTTCATGAGGCTGTGGTATACCATATGAATTGGGTTAATTCATGCTTGTTGGTGGCACAGTTTTAAGTTATTAAGGCAGTGACATACCATATGAAGCCATGGCAACAACAAATGATGTTGTTATTGGATATCACATTGATGACTATGACTTTGTGGAAAAGCTTGCAGGTACTGATATACTTTATAATTGTTAGGAATCTGTCTTTGCCAAATTTATTACTACCTGTTGTTAAATAACTTGTTGATAAGCTCTATTTCTGTGTATGTAAATTTTTTGTTGTTTTGGCTTGATGCATTTGTAAATATAGTGGTATTGTCATTAATTTCTACACTCTGCCAATTGTGATCAATGTTTGTATGCATTAACTTTATTACACCTCATTTAATTAATGAATTGAATAGGAATGTCATTCCTCACACATCAGAGCCCCTGATTCAGTTTATTTATTTCAATGAATTGTATTCTAAGACATTGTTTTTTAGTTATTTTTAATCAACCAAATCACTTATATTTAATTTGGTGTTTAATCTCTATTTAGACAAACTGCAGCAAGCAAATCTGTCTGTCTGGTACCATAAACCAAAGGAAGCAGTGAATCAAACAAGCCAAGCCATTCTTGGCTGTAAGGTAACTGAGCTTTAAATGAAAGTCTTGTTCTCAATCTTCTTAATCTAATTTATTAAATCATAACATTTAAGTTGTGGCCCAACTAATGGCTGAGTATATTGAACACTTCCAGAGCTTCAATTTTATTTTTTGTCAAGTAATATCAAAACTGCACTCAATACACATCTCTTTAAACTCTTAATATCCTGACTGATAAACGATGCTGCTGGGTGCCGTCCAAGGCTTGACATGTAAATATTTCTGGAATGGGTGGAGTGAATATACATTTGTTTTGTTTTATTTAATTAATGTACATTAATTTTTAAGTTCATGATTGTGTTTGTTAAATTGTATGTACAGCGAGGTGAGACCAGCCTTAGGCTGGGGTACTGCGCTATATAAAACCACTAATAATAATATCACAAGTACAAGTAACAACTCCAACATTAGATGGTGATTTCATATTCCATTTAGCCTTTCATTGGTTGATTTTACAAAAGCTTTAAGTTCTTGTCTCAATGATCATGATCTGTCTCTGGTTCTATTTGATCCCCAGATCTACGTGGCCATAATGTCAGAGCTAGCAGCTGTTGACCCCACCATGCAAGAACAGCTTGCCCTTGCCTACATCTCAAACTCAGCTATCTACCCTTTGTCCAAAATTCGTTTCAGATTTCTTTCCCCTAAACTGAGTGGAGGCGTGTAAGTATTCACACTTGTTCACAGGAATCTCGCTTGATATTTTTGGAAATTTAGACATAGTTCATAATGTAAAATAGTTTGTTGTTTTGATTATATTACCAGCACACACAATTTAGAGTGGGTTCACGAGCCTATGACCAACTGAATTAAATGTCATCCACTTGATTTGTTCAGTATTATTCTATTGTTGTACACGTTTATATTAATGACGATATGTTGAGTCTTTTTACATTAAATGGGAAACTCATTTGCAAAATGGTTGGAGATGGGAGCTGTCAATGGCTTAAACTCCACGATCAATGTTTAGTTGACTTATTGATTAAATAGGTTATATTTTTTTAACATTCAAATAAGGTATGTTGTCCTTTAAATTTTGTTATGATTCAGGAAACTGATGTTAGCCAAAATAAATTGGTGCTTTGTGTTGAACATGGATGAGTTTGACATCAAAGTCGAATCACTGATCAAATGTATTAAGAAAGACATCAAGAATAAAAGACAGCATGACAGTAATTCAGGTCAGAATAATTCCCATCTGACTCTAGCATTAAACCATGGACAAGACCTTGGTGGCGATGACTCAGAATTTGAAGGTGTGCCAGGACACAATCATTTCAAAGAACTTACCACCCAAGTTTTGTTTTGGAATCACCACTTCAATGAAAAAATTGAGGTTGGTTATCAGTTTTATAAGTTTCATTTAAAAAAAAAAAAAATATTCTAGAGGTGGAATATTTGGCTCGTTGTCTAGGTGTATGATTCAACCACAAAACAATAATCTTCAAGGTGCATAAGTCTTTTCATTCATGACAGCATTACAGCCGTAATGCGTCTTCACAGATAATTCAATACGAATCAAAATTATATGATAATATCCCACTCTGCAAATATATCTTGACAAAAATCACTCTCTAAACGTCTCGCTCTCGCGAGTCCTATCTCTCGTCTCACAACACGATCTCAGTTCACCGTCTCACCGTGAACATAATAATCCTCTCTTTCCCTCTCACGTCTGTGAACCCTTTTATATCCACCTTTCATTCACTCGTTCACTCCAACATCGTTCATGAACGTAACATGAAAATAGTTCACTCTCGCTCCTAACCCCCGTTCATCCCCACTTCCCACTCACACACACCACGGCTGATTTCATGATCTTGACAGTTGCTAGTTGGTTTGAGGTGAATTTATCCTGGGGTCATAATTTGATTAGCATAATTAATAGAAAGTCAAAATTTTAGTTAATTAAATAAATAAATAAATAAAACTCTTCTTCGTTTCCTTTCTGGGATTTTACTCTGGATATTAAAGTACTAGAATAAATGACCATGTGTTATTTCGGTAATGTTGCAAGGCATATTGCGAAACCTTCTATCTCCTATTGCAAAGTTTTAACATCTAAAAAATCCTATCTTTTACATATGTAACTAAATCTACAAAAAATATAAAATATAAACAATTTTTAATGCTCTTGAAATGTATATTTAGCAAATAGTAAATCAGAATTTCTTAATTTTTAAAGAAGAATCTTTTTATAGATATTAACATTTCTTACATCATTGGGTTTTGAGAATTTTTTCTTGTATATAATATTGGCCTACCAAACCCTGATGGTTCGCTTAACTGACGTTTAGACATAAAAGTTAAAGGATTATTGCAAATAATTAGCCGTAACACTTAAATAAACCATATTCAATATATTTACTTTATACACATTCACTGCGCAGTCTGCGCCACAATCTTTTCATGAATGGTGGCATTTAAGAAGTTGTGAACGAGGCTAGTTTGTTAGGGTATGTATTGATAAATATATAAATCAATAGTTCTACCTAAAAAGTCAAATTAAAAATGGATGTTTATGTGATAAAAATTGTATGATTTGAATTTATTCTTATCAAAATCTGCTGTGTGGTGACTTAAAACTGCTGCATGGCATCTGTGAGATATCTGCATGGCCTTTCAGCTTAAAGGGAACAATTTCTATAGCATTAACTAATTTTGTTAGTATCTTGATTTAAAATGTACCCAAAATCTATCTTGCTCCTGATCTTTACTATTAAAAAATCTTTAAAAAATGAATTCTTATATTAAAGACTCATCTCTTAACCAATTTTCAAATCTGTAACGGTCTTGTATTTTTAGAAAACTATTCTTAAGCTTATCAAAATTCCTATGCCCCCAAAATGTATTTGCGCAAATGGAAAAACAAATTATATTTCCTCTATTTTAAAGAAAATCTTAACCCCTATTTGCTCATTTCCCTGAAAAGTGTTTCTATTTTTAAAGATTACTTTTTTACATCTATAAAAGTGTTGGGCTTTTAAATATTGTTATCCAATATAAAAATATTCACACTCTCCTTTCACATTTAAAATTTATTTTCATCAAATATTTACAATACATTTTTCAATATAAAACATACTTTTATCCTTATCAATATTTGCCCACCCTTTAACTGTATATTTTTGAAAAAGAAAAAAATGTACAATGTCCTAAATTTAAAAGAAATCCTATCTACTATTTTCCCCTTTCCATCTTTATTTAGTTTGGAGGTATAGGTACAATGATGTTAGTGAGTCCTCAATGTGTCCATGTACTTGAACTACATTTTACTACCTTACTACAAAACATCTGTTTATTTATTTTGAAAGAAAATATAAAACCTCTCTTTATGTCTGTAATATCATTAGAGTTAAATATATTATTATTGACATATAAATGTACACATCCTCTTCCCCCCCCCCCCCCCCCCCCCCCCGTGAAATCCGTTTGTGGAAGAAAGTTGTTTGCCTTAGAAAGTTAAATACACCATATACACCATTTCATTAGTCTTAAAACTATCTGTATACCAATTTCCTGTCTGTAACTACTTGAGCTTTCAGAGATTGCTTACTCATCAAATGTACCCACCCATTTTGTGGTGTATCTTGTGCTACCTTGGGCAAAATAACAAAATTACAGCTCTTTCCCTCCCACCCAAATATTTTTAAAAGATATTAATATAGACATTAATAAAAGCACCCTAGGGATGGTAACCAAACCCCATTACCCACTTTAGGCCCAACCCTGAACTATATTATATTATACTGTCTGAAACCCGTTTCATTTTCATATTAAAAAAAAAAATAGTTCATTGATTATTCTTTATATTTAAAAAAAAAAATGGTAGTATAGTTTTAAAATAAAATCATTGCCAAAGTTCAATCTGCAACATAATCAGGTTTTGAGATACTGATTTTAAAATTTAACCCTTTGATCTGCATTTTCTTATATTAACTAGTTTTTTAAACTAATAATTTGAGCAATTAACTCATTAAAATAAAAGTTAGATTTAATCTTACGACCTTAAACAGTTAACAGCAATATCACCTTAAAGTTGACATTTTTTTACCTGTAATTTTTTAAAGTTTAAAAAAAGTCTAATGAAGAACAAACAAGTTGGTTTCACAATCTGGGCAGTATACAATTTATTTGTATGCTCATAATTTACATGCAAAAAACAGACTCTGGTTAGAGGAGATTGCGCCAAAAATCTGATATCATAATTAATTTCACCTTAGTGTATCAGACTTTCCCTTATTTTAAAGAAATGTCTTTGTATAGATGTTTACATTGCTAACATCATTGGGGTTTGAGAAATTTGTATGTTTTATGTAATATAGAACCACCAAAACATTTATCATGCTTCTGAACTATAAAGAAAATAATTATTACATTAAATTTATTTATAATTATTTTAATAACACTTATATATTAAAGATTACTTAAACTTTCATAAAAGCAGATATATTTTATCATAATTGAATTAATTCGATTTCCGTCAAATAATAAAAAATCCCTATCACAGTTTTTAAGTACCAGTATCTGATTGTTATTTAAATTCATTTGATTTATGCAAAACAATAAAAATCACTATAATTTTTTTTAAGAATATGGTGTCAAGCTTATGTAAATTGATTCAATTTCCATAAAATAATACAAAATTACACTCATTGTTTTTAAGAATCCAATATTACATGGTCACATTAGCTCATTCTTATATATATATAAGACCCTACATCACCATAGACATTTTAGTGTGGACATTCTCTTTAGGATGAAGATTTATATAGTGGGTAATTGTTTTAATATGCATAACATGGTTTATTTTTAACTATCATCATATTTGGTGATAATTTGACAAAGTTTACTGATATGAAAGTGAAAGAAAAATATTTAAAAGGTTTTTGAAAACTATTTCACCTGACCTGTATGTGTGTCAGCCTCTGAACTTGTAAACGAATTGAATAATAGATTGATTACTTTGAAGAGTATTACTGTGTGCACATTTACAGCTATTTGGGAACTGTTTATTACTATTTTTTGTGTTACAAGCAATGTAATGTATAGGTGGGAACATGAGAAGTTATTTGATGCTGTAAACTTTAAAGGTTTAATTTTGGTAATTAAGTGGCCTGAACTTTAAAAGCTTTTCATTTCCAGGTCACTTGGGAGGAGTTTAAGGAAAAATTTACCCACGATTATGGTGAGAAAATTGAGGCAGAGTTCCCCGATGTCAATGAGAAAAAAATAGATTTTGTGATGAATATGGTACATAAAGAAGTTTTCAACCTTAGCCCAGTAGTAACGAAAGATATATACAGCAATTTCTGCATAGAAAGACATCCCCATGCCTTCTTCTTGAGAGTACAAGAATACACAGTTGCCTCTTTGTCTCTACGTCAGGTGCTTAGTATGGACAGCAGTTTAAGGATTTCAACAATACAGAACTTGGGTATGTGTCTAAATTCATAAAAACTTGATTATGTGTTCATCACAACTTGAGTATAATTATATGTACATCTATGTATAACTTACATATCATGCTTAGATCTATCTAAGCTAGGTATTTTGGTTTATTATTCTTACCATTCTTGCATACAACTAAGCTTGACAGCAGAGTTATTTGACTTGATGTTTAAACTCCAAAATCAAGTCTGGAATCTGGCTAGCGAAAATTTGCTTTGGATCATGATTCTCAGAGTTCATAATATAAAATTCTCATATTGTTTACAGGTCACTTCTCATTTCCAGCCATTGTGTCTGGCTTGTCGGAGTTGTTGACAGATAGAGACCCTAATGTAAGGACAGTGGCAGCCATAGCATTGGCACATGCAGGTAGGTGTCACCATTTGTTTCCAGTTATTGTGTTGTCATGTGTTGTTTAGGGGCAATAGTTTCATTAAAATCAAACCACTGTTCTACTTCTACTTTTCTGGTAGATGTAGTAAATCAGTATGTGACACTACTTTCTCTGTCAGGCAGCAGCCATCCTGAAACTGTTGACAAGCTAATAAGCTTGGTTGAAGATGAGGATCGTTTGGTGCGGGAAAGTGCTTGCCTCAGTTTGGGCTTTCTCAGAGCAACACAAGCAACAGATCCCATTATGAATTGTTGGTGAGTTATAATGTTTTATGACATTGTTTAGAAAGGGGACACACCATGTGGTTCCACTGGGTTGTGGATAAGTTCATGGGGTTTATAAATAGGTGTGGTTAATATAGGATCCTGAATATCATCACCGATTTTAAATGATATTTTAAAATGTGTTATGTTTTACCTGTGTATTACCACAATTTTGTTTGCCTGTGTCACTTGAACTTTGACATTGTATCAAGATGCATTGTTGAGGTCCTTACGTTTCTGGTGTGCTTTTGGGGTCTTGGAGCTCACTATGTTAAGATTTGGAACCACTAGGCTTTGATTTTCATATTAAACCTAATCTAATTAGTGTTCTGTTTGACCCTATCTGTTGGGTTGTTCTCATTTGTAACTAATTGTTGGCAGGAGGAATGACCCCATCTCAACAGTACGAGAAGCTGCCGAGCTAGCGTTGAGCAAACTGGATGTGATCGAGGCCCAATCCTGCATAAAAGTAACCAAGCTCTTATCCTCAGAGATGAACACTTTGAAACTGGCAGCTAATACTTAGTGTGCGATGAAACCCAATCAGTGATCAGTGAGTGGATGGATTTGATCTGCTGATGTTAGAGTCACATTCATTGTTGATGTTAATGAATATCTAGTTAGTTTAATTGATGTTGATAGCCGGCAAGTATAACCAGTAGCGGGAGCCATTAACCTATTATTACATGAGAATAAAACAAAAACTAAACATTCCTAGACCTTGCATGACATTGGGACAAAGTACTAAATACTTTAGTGGCTTTAAGTTTGTAATTGTGACCTCAAAATTTATGTGCCAATTTTTTAAATCTGTTACTGTACCTAAAGCTGGGCAGTGAATGTATGCAGTTGATAATTAATTGGGGGGGGGGGGGGAAGGGGGCGGGATGTTTAAACAATATAAATTGGAACAATGAAACTGTGCAGTTTATAATAATTAACACACACACACACACACCTCCCCCTCCCCAAATTTCAGACAGTTAAAATAAGATTTTTGATTTGTCAGGTATAGTATTAGACACTTGTGTCATCTATTCAAATATTTGAATGGTGTATTTTTCCAAATACTTAAATGTCATATCTCATATGATGGTGTTATTTAATTTTGTTGTGAATCCTTTTCTTTTTCCCTTCATTGTTAAAATGTCTTGAATGTGTAGCTCCAGGAATGAGCCATGTTGTGTAGATACAGGAATGAGCCGTGTGGTGGGGATCCAGGAATGAGCCAAGTTGTTTAGATCCAGGAATGAGCTATGTTGTGTAGATCCAGGAATGAGCCATGTTGTGTAGATACAGGAATGAGCCGTGTGGTGGGAGATCCAGGAATGAGCCAAGTTGTGTAGATCCAGGAATGAGCCATGTTGTGTTGATCCAGGAATGAGCCGTGTTGTGTAGATCCAGGAATGAGCCATGTTGTGTAGATCCATGAATCAGCCATGTTGTGTAGATCCATGAATCAGCCATGTTGCGTAGATCCAGGAATCAGCCGTGTTGTGTAGATCCAGGAATCAGCAGCGTTCTGATCAAATTCCTCAAATTTTTCCAACGTCTTTGTTGAGAAGTTTTTGAATGATGAATACAGTCACATTCCAACTTGTATACATTCGCAGTTACCCTGCTGGAATCTTCATACACCTACCTGCCGCCTCAACCACTCCACATGAATCATACTGCATGATCATGTAGTTGTTGATGCCCAGCAGATGAGGCTAGCCGCCAAAACCATAGCCACGGTCATAAGAGACTAAAGTCTCGACCCAAAAGAGAATTGACATTTATAAGTTGTAGTGTGTTGAACACAAGAGAAGGCCTAAAAAAAACAATTGATTACTTGTTATAAAGAGATTTTCAGTACAAAGAAAATTCTTTATCCGGCCAGTTTAATGTGCCTCACTTAATGCAGCCATTTACTTCTGAATGATACACTTATTTGCTTTATTATAGCTCACTTTTGAGATAACATTGTGTACAATAAAATAGTTTCATTACCAAGATTTACAATAACAAAACCAGTTATCTCAGGTGAGTATCTCATGCCACTTTGAATTAGACTACCAATGCCAACACATCAGAGGGATTTTTCTACATGTTAAGCCATTTTACTATTAGGTCTATATGTTAAGCCATTTTACTATTAGGTCTATATGTTAAGCCATTTTACTATTAGGTGATCTTGTATTAGAAGGAATTCTCAAACCTGTAAAGGAGATTTCCTTGTTCTTTTATTTCACACACAGTATTATATGTATTATTTTATTCCAAAGGAATTCCTTTTTATCAATTTAATGTCATTATTTTTAGTGCTGATATTAGTCTGGATAAATCTGGAACATCAATGTAATTGATTTCCCTCAATAGGCCAAAATGTTTAAGAATATTGAAAGAAAAGCCAACAAGTTGTTACACTAATGTATGTCTGACTGTTAAAAACAGAGAGCTCTATTTTATTCTTAATTAGTGACACAGTAAAGCTACTGCTGTTCACGTTTTTTAAATTAAGTGTGGGGTAAATTTTAAATATTGTTAAGGAGACTTATACTACCCTTAACTTATACTACACTTAACTTATACTACCCTTAACTTATACTACCCTTAACTTATACTACCCTTAACTTATACTACCCTTAACTTATACTACCCTTAACTTATACTACCCTTAACTTATACTACCCTACATATAGACAATTCAGCAGCATTTCAAAATGAAGTGGGTTTGTTCCTGAATTTATTTGGTAAAGAACCCATGAAGACCAATAAAAGAAGGCAACCCATTCTACAGACAAATTTAAAAAGACACAACACTATTTGCACAATATGTACAAAGCCTCAATAAAGATCACTCATTTAAGTATGCTGCAGCAAGTGTACTTCAATCAGTAGCCTATAATGTCAAACAAACAATTGTCTTAAGCTCAGCCTTACAGCAATACAGCTGTCCAAATTGTTTGTGTTGTCTGGAAGGAACAAGTTAATGTTTTTTTTTCGTGTAATTATAAATATTATCATGTATTTTCTGTATTAAGATAAGATTTTTTTTATTGATCCCAACAAAAAAAAATGAAATGTTTTGATTAGATTTTACATTATCATTTTCAGCTAATGGATAAACATGCTAGACTAATACAGACCAAAACAATTGAAAACTTTATTGCTAAAAATACTTAACTCCAAAAATACCCATTTTTGAGATAATTAAGTTCAAATATTCTTTTTGTCTATAAAATGTGATCATTTTCATATTTTCTGTTGGCTAAATAAGGGACTTGGGTAAATTTTAATGTGCTCAAATTTATACAGTGCCAGTACACTTGGCTTTAGAAAATGTCACAGTTTAGATTGATTTTGACAAAAATGTGACTGCAGCAATTTTAGCACTACAGTCTTCAATTTCAACGGAAATTATATCACATATGAGCATTGACCAGCCATCATATGTCTCATATGGCCGAATGGTCTGAACTGAGCAAACCTCAAGTTGGTGGTCTGGTGTTCAAGTCCAGCTAAAGGCCAGTGAAGCAAAAACATCACCCTGGGTGGATGAGACTCGTTATCCTTGGTCGGCAACTCATCTAAGAGAAGGAAACTCTGAATTCAAAACCCGGAGCTGGAGTCCCGTAAGTGTCAAACAATGACAATTCCTGCAACCGAACCCATCCCTGGTCGTCTTGACGTACAGTCCTGCCACTGGATATAGTGGGCTCGGAAGAGAGAGTGAGGTAGACGCTGCGCAACTCTTCCTCACTTTAAACAAAGTCACCCGCGCAAGTCATCAGTCATCAGACGACTCGATGGTCCTCGTCGATCCTCGACGGACGAACAATATGTCTTAAAACATCACTTCCATCATGAATGGACCAGCCATCATATGTCTTAAAACATCACTTCCATCATGAAAATATTGACTTGAAGAGTGATTATTTGTTTTTAAACAACTGGGGAAACATGCTGTAAACTCTTACAAATTTGGGAACAAATTAATTTCTATATCTTTTGGTCCTTACTTTAAGGGAAAGAATTCTCCCTGATCGAGCTAAAGTTAGCTAACTGTGTTGTAGAGGGTGGGATGTATTTTTTTTATTTAAGAGTTTCACTTATAGATTTTGCTTTAAATAATTCTTCAAGCAATTATAACAAGTTTATTTAATATGTGTTGGATGAGAAATGATGAATTCCCACACCAACGGACAAGGATGGCACCATGTAACAATGTTAATCCCATGAATGGGAAAAATTAGTTGATGCTGACCAGAAATAGCAGGCCTTGTCCTAATTCTGTGACAATTAACTTGACATTTGTTTTTTCAGACCTATATTTTAGAATCTCTAAATGTTTGTTGGGTAAAAATACCTTTAGTTGATTGTGTGTTGTGATAAGAGCAAACAATCTGTACAGCTAGACTTGACAAATAAATGAACAAAAATTATGATGTGCTGTTTATAATTCTTTTTTAGAATTCTCTTCTTCTAGTTTACTAAATTTTCTATCAGAAGGAGAAAAAGTAACATAATACCACACAAAAAAGTTGAAAATAGAGATCTTAAACCTTCACATTTTACAATGACGTATATCATATATATAAACTTTAACCTCTGATTAAAAATCAAAACCATACATTTTAGTGTTTTAACAAAAGACAATAATTTAATAATTTAAATATAACACTGGTATTAAACAGGATCTGATAATTAAGAATTGATGAAACTCTACAGAGTAATTAAATTGTAGAATCCTGGCCATCACATAGACTTAACATAAATAATGATTGATTTGGGGGGGGGGGTAAATCACCCTGCCCTACCCAAATGACGCCCCTGCGTACACATTGTGCCATATCTTCTAAACCAACGCTTACCCTCAATGCTTACATTAATTATGGATTCCTCTGCCCCTGTCTAACAGTTCAATCTATGTATTGTCTTTGGCCTTTTCCCCCCTTGTCTAACAGTTCAATCAACATCTTGTGTTTGGTCTTGTTCCGTATGGTCTAACAGTTTAATCAATATCTTGTGTTTGGTCATGTCCCCCCCCCCCTCATCTAACAGTTTAATCAATATCTTGTTTTTAGTCTTGTTTCGTATTCTCTATCAGTTTAATCAATATCTTGTGTTTGGTCTTGTTCCTCCTTGTCTAACCGTTCAATCAATATCTTGTGTTTGGTCTTGTTCCCCCTCGTGTAACAGTTTAATCAACATCCTGTGTTTAGTCTTGTTTCGTATTCTCTATCAGTTTAATCAACATCTTGTGTTTAGTCTTGTTCCTCCTTGTCTAACCGTTCAATCAATATCTTGTGTTTAGTCTTGTTCCCCCTCGTGTATCAGTTTAATCAATATCTTGTGTTTGGTCTTGTTCCCCCTCGTGTATCAGTTTAATCAACATCTTGTGTTTAGTCTTGTTCCTCCTTGTCTAACCGTTCAATCAATATCTTGTGTTTAGTCTTGTTCCCCCTCGTGTATCAGTTTAATCAATATCTTGTGTTTGGTCTTGTTCCCCCTCGTGTATCAGTTTAATCAACATCTTGTGTTTAGTCTTGTTCCCCCTCGTGTATCAGTTTAATCAATATCTTGTGTTTAGTCTTGTTCCCCCTCGTGTATCAGTTTAATCAATATCTTGTGTTTGGTCTTGTTCCCCCTCGTGTATCAGTTTAATCAACATCTTGTGTTTAGTCTTGTTCATCATGCAGCTTCTTCAAGTCTCTCTTTTCCTTCCTGTGTTTACGATCTTCTTCTATCAATTCCCTGAAAAATAAAATGTTTATGAACGTTAATTTCACTATCAATAGCTATTGGTCTCAAAATCGTCCCGTATTGGTCTCAAAATCGTCCCGTATTGGTCTCAAAATCGTCCCGTATTGGGTAAATTGCC